AGCATGTCCAGTAAAATTCAATGTTCTCAGCCTAGAAAAGAGGCCTATGGCTTCACAAAAGACAGACACGTGGAATTCAAGAGGAGTTACTTTACTGCTGTTGATGGAGTTACTTTGTCTTCCACATGGCCAAGACAGGAGTGGCCTCTGCCTGCATTGAGATCCCTCAGGAAAAACTGAACTACAACAGAAAAAAAACATAAAATGCAGACCTGTGACTCTAACACTATCACTTTTCTTGTCATATAAGATTTTAAGCACATTTTACCTGGTGAAGAAGCCAGTGGAAGCTTTGAAAGTTTACATGATTTATTTTGAGCATTTGGTTGGCCAATAAATATGGTGCTTTTTGTGTATTTTGTTTTATTTTGCTACACGGCCAGCACTCAATATATTCACATAAATACACACCACCCATTTATGAATACAAATGTTCATCCACAGACACTTCACTCCATGAATCTGATGAAGCAGCCAACAAAATGTAATGCTACAAACTTTTTTGTTAGTCTTTAAAATGCCCCAAGATCTCTTTGCATGATGTTTGGGCATTTCAACACCAATATTATTAGACATCTTAAGTAGCATTTGGATATATCTCCATAATCTGCAAGTCATTAAACTGAACACAGACCACTACAGGAGCCTGGCACTTCATCTAGGTAGCTATGTCTTTCAAGTTTTGCTGTCCAACTACATAAAATTGAGAACTTTTAAGGAAATAGGAGATCACACTATGTCTGATTTGCTTAGCAGACTTCAATTTATTGTATTGTGGAATATGCTAACTATGGAAACCTACAGGTCTGAAGCCAAAGAACACTATTCAGTCATTTAAATTATTTTATCTATAATGAAGTAATAGTTTATCCACAGCTTTAAAAGACAACTAAGGTGATGTAAAGGTTACAAAAAACGACTGACTACTGATTTACATGTTGACACAGAATGATCCAATAGCTCTGAATATATCAATAATTAAGCATTCAAGCCAACTCATTGGAAAGTACTTCAGTCATTCAGAACACAGTTCCCATACATGTATCATATTACCTCAACCTTGATCTTAGTGAAATGCCTACTTTTAACTTTCTTATAGAAATGGAAATTGCTTGACACTATTATTGGTGTCATCTTGGGAATATAAATAAGCAAGGTTAGGGGGTTTAAAAAAAGCAGAAGTTCATTACCTACTACACCTGCTGATTTCTAAAAATGGCACAGGCCACTTTTATATCACAAATGAAGTGACTGTAGAGAGGCACATGTCTCTTAGAGTCATAGTTAATTCATTCTCTGCTACGAGCTTGACTTAGAACCAAACTACAGCCAGGGTAATATATATACCATGCCACTGCGAGTTTAAGAATTCATAACGCCACCAGGATGACATATCAGCTTAAGCATGAGGACTAAAGTTTCGGTACTCGCAATATTAATTTGTGTGACTTTGTGACAGGTAATACAGACAGAGTTTCCTTTGCTATCATCAACTGCTGTAACAAGATCTCCTCCTAACATCCCACAAATCTCCAGTATGAGCCAAGGGTAAGAAACAACATGCAAATTCCTTTGGGAAATCAAAGGAACTGTACTAATACAGATTTAAAAAATGTTGACACTTTCAATTTTTCTCATGGAAAGAGCAGGTTTTTTTCCACTGCAAGCAGGAGAGAAGATAAATCAATGTAAGCTCTATCCTGTTCTACCAGAAACCTAAACTAACAACCACAGTTGTGATGCATTCTGAACATTTGTATACTTATTGAAAACCAGATAAACATGCTGATTTCACTAGCCAGTTTCATCTTTCCAGGATACTTCTCAAACACGAGTCTTTGTAGAGTACACAGTGTGATCTGATGTTACCAGAAGCAGAAATGCAACTAGTAAATAGCCCAGAGAGCCAAAGGAAAATATAAAATTAACAAGCACTCAACTAGAAAAGAAGAAGCAATATGATCAAGTGTTTCTACTGCATTGCAGACTAGGGAGTGGGAATTAGTAGCATACATGTTGTTAACTTCTAACTGTAAGAACTTTCTACAAGCTCGTACAATCAAAGAACATTTAGAGGGCTAAACAAGTGTGCACATTTTGCAGATATTCAAAGTCTCCACAACTTGAGCATTTTATAGCAAATTCTTATTTCATGCATATGTACTCAAAAAATATTCCCGTTACAATGACGTGCAGTACTGATTTTTTCAATAAAGCTCCTTTTAAACATGGGAAAGGTTGTGTTTTTGAATACAGTTTTTGGGCATGTTTAAACAGTTTGTTTCAGTGTAAATATGCAGAATTCTTCATTCATTTGGAAGAAAAAAATCACAAGATTTGAACGAATATATTACAAAGATGAGACATGTTCGATTCCTTTATCTTATGATCAAGGCTCTCAAAACTCAGAGGTACAAAATTGGTTACAGACAATAGTACCAATTCACAAGTTCTACATTCAAATTCAATGTGTATTTTTCATTAATACTAAAAGAAATATTCTGTTCATGAACTTTGGATAAAACTGTCTATATCCTTTGCCTTAATACAGATGGGAACCTCCAATGGAGAAATGTTCTCCAACTAGCCTGCAAGGATGTTAAAGGAAGAATTTACCTCTCTCTAAGACACACCACATGCATCATTTGCTCTCCAAATCAGAGATAAGAGCAGGATTCTTCAAGCCCACCCGCAGCCTCTCAAATGGAAAGGCATGCGAGCCAGGGATATCCACGCCGAGTAAAGCAGAGAGCCAACTTCACTTGCCCTACATCTTCTTAGGATAGGGCAGAATGTGGTGAATAACACTTAAATTTTGACTTAGCTCACTGCTGCAAGAGCAGTCTTACAGATAGCATCTAAAGTATACTGGGGTGGCTTCACTGAATGCAGGCTTCATCTATTCGGGCAAATATGCATACAGGGAAGCAGGTTCCCTGGCTTAAAGTACAGTTTCAGAAACACTTCTGCAGTTGGTTGTTGAATCATGCACAAGATTTCTGGAAAGCTTCATTCTCAGCAGGGTGATTCAGAAACTGGCTGCAGGGGGATTCTTGCATCCAACCCCTGGTTAAGGCTGGTTTCAACTACCCATCCTTTCCTCTTTGGGAAAAATACCAGATGTTGAAGACAGCCCTACATAACAAATCACATTACATAGAGTGTGTAGTTACATCCAATGTTATTAGACCTGCAAAGGGAGGCAAATTATCTACCAATGACCCACCTCATTAAGCTCCTCATCCATGCCCAAAAGCAATTAAGAATAAAATCAGATGTGTTTCTGAATCCACAATTAACAACTAAACCAAGGTTAATGATCCAAACTCTAACTCAAACTAAAGCTGCAAACATCTACAGATGTATAGAACTGTAATGTTTTCCATTTTTGTCAATAGGGAAAGCCTTGATTTTCAATTACTATACTTTACTTTAAAATCTTTTCTGCTATAATGGATCAAGTATTTGTAATGGATTTTTTGCAAATCGTTATACACATTTGAGATACAAATGAGGTAGGATTTACTTGATTAATTTCAACTTGATATTTGAATATGTATAGGCCTTCACATGTCTTGAATTCTTTCAAAAGGCTCTAACCTTAAACCATGTGCATGTGTATTTGTAAGCAAATTTGTGGTGTTTCATGTATACTAATTTATATTTTAGAATATTTGCTTCTTGATGTAATAGGGAAGACTCCATAATGGTCTTATGCTTGATGTGGAAGAAGCCTTTTATTCTGTCATCTAAGAACAGCTAGTTTACTCCTACTTCCTGCCACCAAAATGACAGTTTTGTTAAAATGCATCTGCCCCTGATATCTGAGCATGAACTGATCTATGGAAGATGGTTCCAGATTTATTTTTTAAAGTGTATGTTACTATCTAGCTTTTTCTACTTATTTCTTACTAGCTGAGTGTACTGGCACATCTGGGCCCAGAATTAATAAGGCTATCAAGAGACTTGATTTTTACCTTTTTGCTGCAGGAATCTTAACATTGTTATCTTAGAAAGCATTTTGCTTTTCCCCATCTTTTTTCCCTCCCTTAAAGATCTTAGAAGCAGTGGTCTAATGTGTCCTCTCCTGTTTTCTAGTCCTTTACAAATCTTTCCTGATGAATTATGACAGTTTTCTCTTCTTGCTTTCAGGAAAACCACACCTTTGAAATTTAAACTTCAAACCTGCCATCAGAACTTAAACTGCAAACAAGAATACATCAAAATGTGAAGCATCTACTTCACTAGTTCCAAGTGGTTTATGGCTTTTCTATTTTATTTTCTCAAAAATTGTTACATGCATACATATCTATATGGCTTTCTTGATCTTATTTTATTGATAAATATCTTACTATCCTTGTTTGAATTTCTATCTTTCCTTCCCTAGCTCTAAACACAAGAATCAAACACTGTGGTGTTGTGGTTAGCTTCAGGGGAAAGGTTTCCACTTGTGTCAACTGTATTAAAGATTTTAAAAGCATGAATTCTATTTTGACAATATAGTAACATGTTTAGGACCAAGAAGCAACATATCTGAACATGAGGACACGGCATGACTTTTAACTACCTCACATCTACATAACATCTATACTGTTTATGAAGAATTATGAACTGAAGCTACTGTCCCAAGGCATGTCTTGCCATTCCAATATGAGCCTCACATTTTAAATTAAGGAAATTTTACATATTAGGAGAATTTTGTTATAAAACAATTACATCAATTATTAGAAGTGAAATACTTACCTTTTTTTACCCATATGTCTATCCAGATAGTTCTTCAAATAGGATTTTATTTTTGCAGTTGCTAAAGCACAAGCACACCTAGTGAGAAATACTTTTGACATTTTTTTCATCTCAAAAACCTTACATGCACTTAATGTAACTTTACCCTCATCATCTAGTTGTAATCCTGACATCAACCTATATAAAGCTTTAAGGTATGAGTCTCATGTGATGATCAATATATACTGCACTTCTCCTGAACATAAAATCTAACTTACCAATACAAGCGTTGAGAAATAACCAGTCAGTCTTCTTCATTCTGTTCTTTATTTGCTTTAGTTTTTTGAAGTCAACTTCAAGTTCTTCTTTACTGCCAACAGCTCCAGCCAGCTCAATTCTCTGAAAGTCCATTTTCATTTCAGATTCCCGTTTGGTTGTAGGAGGGGATCTTCTTTGGCTATTACCACTACTACAACTCCCCCTCCATCGAGTTCTATCTTGCTCATTTATTATTGAAGAAGCCTCCTCTGTTTCTGCCAATTCTATTGCTTCAATGTTGTTGGGTCTTGGATGATCACACACAACACACTTTTTGGCCTTAGCCCAATTTTCATATGTACAAACAGAACAAGTCCAATGCTGGGTCCTCATGTTCAGTTTATTTCTATCATTGTACTCCTCACAAGGATCCACAGAGAAAGGAGCTGGTCTTGAACCAGATCCTGAAGACTGAGGGGATTCTGTGGGGCTCCTGGTCCTACGTTGAGACAAGCACTGAGTGCATCTTATTGCACGAGGCCAGTTCAAGTATGTGCACATGTGGCATGACCACTTATTTGCACTTTCCATACTGTAGGAAGATTTTACTCTTGGTCTTGCACTGGAATCTGGACATATCAAAGGGCTGCTGCCTCCTTCAATACTTGCAGGATCCCAGTCTCTACCAACATCACTTGAGCCGCTCTTGAACGGATCTTCTGTAATAATAGTTCCACTAGGTCTTTGAGCACGGCACATGGTACATTTGATTGCAGAGGGCCAGTTTTCATATGTACAATACTCACAAGCCCATTTTATTCCACGTTCTGTCATCCTGCACTCCTTGAAGTAGATTGTTCCAGGCAGAAAGCTTTAAAAACAAATTAAGAATATATTAGAACACATATATTACGTATCAGTCAAAATAATTGGAAAAAATTCTTCAGATTATTTCAGCAAAGTAATTAATTACAAAGCTTTTGACCAATTCAGGAATGAGCAAAGCATGGTCTGTATAGCTCAGAAGACCTCTAAAGCTTTTTTGCAACCCATATGCTTTCCAAAAATGTTAAAAGGAGTTTCTGGTTCTAGAGGCCTTTGAAAGGAGTTTTTGCGGAGGTTTTGTGTTTAAACAAATTCAAATACCTCTAAGAATTTAAGAAAAATAATTTAAGAAAAAGAAACCCCAGATATTGACTTATGTCCCCATTTCATTTATTTTTAAAGCATTTTTCAGGACCTGACGCACCCACAGAAAGCCTGGGGGGGGGGGGKAGAGATTGACTCAAGTCCATGTAAAGTTATTCAACTTTGTTTTGGTTTTAATAAACCACGGCAAGACAAGCATCAGAATCATGTACACCCTTGTTCCCTTTTTTCCTCCTTCATGTGAAGAAAGATGGATGATTACAAGTTTCAGCTTTCAGTTTTGAACATGCAATGATCTTTGGTAAATTGCAGTTTATAATAGTAATAATAATAACAACAACTTTATTTTGTACCCTGCCTCCATCTCCTCAGGGCAGCTTACATGGGGACAAGCCCGAGATTCAACGTAGTTAAAATATAACAACAAAATTCATAAAAACATTTCAAACAATATAAAACAACATGGCGAATGTGAACGTCTAACAACCTTCAATGGTCTGAATAGTGCACAGTACTGAGTTTGAGCGGGCAACTGGTGCAAATCACTTGTCAAAGTATAGGATTGATGGATAAAGTGGTAAAGGAAAATGACAGGATTAGGACCTTGAGGGTCATATAAGGAGAGCACTATGTCTATAAAGGGGGTAATGGTAATGTGTAAGATCTGATTATTGATCAAATTGGGAGCCAGAATTATTTGAGGAACTAACTAGTCAAAGGCACAGTGGAACATCTTTAGTTCTTTCCAGAAGGTGGACAAGGTGGGTGCCAGTCTAATCTCCCTGGGGAGGGAGTTCCAGAGTCAGGGGGGCCTCCACCGAGAACACCCTCTCTCTCATTTCTTACCAACTGTGTTTGTGACAGGGGTGGGAGCAAGAGAAGGGCCTCCCCAGGAGATCTTAAGAGATTGCGTAGCTTCGTAGGGAAAGATGTGGTTTCCCATTGGTCGGCCCTCCATAGATTCTTCATCAAGATTCCATCATTCATAGTTTGAGTGTATTTTTTAGAATTCCAGAAAAAGCAAAAGGTTTTTGCCAATTTATATAAGGATCACTATTTATAATAAACCATTGTATGTAATGGGACTTCAGCATCCAAGCATTTTGGTATCGAGGTGGGGGGGGGGGGGAACTATATTTCCTCATCTGTGATTAGCATTTTCTCACTGCTTAAAAATAGTATGGACTTCTTATGTGAAAACTATTCTTTTGTAGAAGTTTACACAGTAATGTGTGACAGACACACTGCAAAATATATGTACAATGGCCAAGTCAGATCTTTATACAGTCACTCTCCATATGTTAAATAATCAAATAGCTATCCAAGGTTCATGCAGTACTCAGTAAGGTATCTGTGACTATCACCAGCTACTTTTGAAAGTCACCTCAGTTTCAGCTATGGTCCACTAAGCATAGAGATCCTATGACCTGAACAGGCTTTGTTATATGTAGCAAAGTCAACACAGATTTCTGTTTGCTTTTAAAACCCACCAATGCTGGAGCATTAAGATCTTATTCCTATGTCTAATTTTGTATATGTGGTATAGAAAACAAAGGAGTACAAGGGCAATTTAAATTTCCCCTCCCACAGCCCCGTTGACTATATTCCAAATTCTGAGAATTTGCCCTTTTCCCCAGTCACATAAAATTCTGTTTTCTTTTAAAACACATAAATTTGAGTCTTGCAGTTTTGACATTTCATCTTTAAGCACACAGAAAATGCTACTATAGGGTAGCACTTATTGTAAGTTGGGAACAACCTGAAGGCACCTTTTTTTAAAAAAGCATTTTGAATGAGTTTCAGAATACTGGACTAATTTATATGGAAAACATGGAAACAACAATGGTAAGAAATTGTGCACTACTGTATTATAAAGATCACAGATAGAAAACGTTCAGAGAATGCTTACCTTGCTAGTATTCAAGGTTAAGAAAAAGAAAGCTATAGTGTCAAAATTAGCACCATTTAAAAGTTCTAGCAAAGGGCAATAGCTTCAATCATCCCCAAACTTTCACTCCAGGTCAGATGTATCATAAAGAGACTTTGACAGAAATTCTGAAATAGCAGTGTACTGAACTCTTTTCCTGTATGGAACTAGGTCAAAAAAATTATACAATGCACAGTTCTTCTTACAATACTCAAAACTACAGAGAAGAAATGGGCAATTGAAGTAGATTTGGTCTATTTTCTGCGTTTGTAACCCTTCTGAAGCAATACAATCTACCAAAAAAGATTGGTACAAAAATTAGAAGTGGTTGAAAGTCCACTTTTGGTTTTAAAGGAGGACAAGTTATGCTGAACAGTACAGTATAACCTGTTTGACAATGTAATTTATTTGAAAGCAAACTTGTTAGTCCTGCGGCCTTCCAGGAGATGTAATTCACTTTGTACTGATCTGCAGAGTTTGGAGGACTCAAGGGCTACAAAAACAGGCCTGAAGCCTTGCATAAAGGTCCAGGGCCATGTCTGATCTTAACTGTTAAACCTATATAGATTTAAAAAGTTTACTCACTAACAAGATCAAAAGATACAAAAGGGATGGTATGGCTGTCCAGATGTAGGGCTAACCAGCATCCAATGGTAAGGAATGGTATGAGTTGAAACACCATATCTGGAAGACTGCATTTTGCCCACCACTATTTTTAGAGTGAACTTACTAAAAAAAAATCAATCCTGCTTTGCAAATATTTATTTTTCTGTCAAGTATCTGATCTGTCCAATAGTCAACTTTAATCATATTGACAGAAGTTAGGAAAATCTCCCCCCCCCCCTCTAAATTCCACCGCCATGCTGGCTGAAGGATTGAGTTTTAGTTCAAAAGCATTTTCTCCAAGTTCTTCTTATAGATTTATGCATGAAAATATACTGCCTTTTATATCTTCACCTGTAATCCAAACTGCAAGGAAACTATTTATTTGTTAAGCAATCTTTTTGGTTCAAAATAAGTTTTATGTGACTTGATTATAGCTATTCAAACACACCTACTACATGCTTAGAAGGGAAATTTTGCATGCATTTTCCTGGACCACATAGACCCATGCAGTGACCCCAACAACATCACACACACCATGGTGAGATTGCCACACATTTTCGCCTAGTATTTTTTTAAATTTATCGTGCCAGAAGCGAATTGAAAATGCAGTTATATTGTTTAGAAAAACAAAACAAAAAACCTTGGCATTATACGAAATGTCCTTTGACCAAAAGCTGGCCACTTCGAGTGCCTCTAGTGTCGCTGTTAGAATGTCCTCCATTATGCATGTGGCAGGGCCCAGACTGCATTATACTAAGTGGTATGTGGTTTGCTCTTCTCCACATTCGCATGTCGTGGACTCCACCTTGCAGTCCCATTTCTTAAGATTGCCTCTCCATCTCGTGGTGCCAGAGCGCAGTCTGTTCAGCACCTTCCAAGCCGTACAGTCTTCTGTGTGCCCAGGAGGGAGTTTCTCATTCGGTATCAGCCACAGATTGAGGTTCTGGGTTTTGGTCTGCCACTTTTGGACTCTCACTTGTTGACATGTTCCTGTGAGTATCTCTGTAGATCTTAGGAAGCTGTTTCTTGATTTAAGGCACTGGCTTGCTGGCTGATATCCAAACAGAGGATGGGCCGGAGGGGGATAGTAAAACATCTGGGCGTCCCCTGGGCAATGTCTTTGTAGACAGCTGACTCTCTCACACCAGAAACGACTTGCAGCATTTCCCCTAGTGAACTCACCTCAGTGTAAGGGAGCTATCAACAATCTGAAAACCTTTGTGTTGTTTTTTTGCCACATGGTGTCGTCACACCTACTTCCCTTCCCCTGCCATGCATGTGAATATACATATTTCCTGTTATGAGGTACTCCTGCATTCAGCTGTAAACCTATGCCCAGGTATCAGCAGTGCCCAGGAATGCTTTCGCATTATTGCATAATTAAAGCTAGTTGGATCTGGCCATGGTGGTAGATGCCTTTGTTATATCCTGGTTGGACCACTCCCTACATGGGGTTGTCTTTGAAAAGTACTCAGAACCAGGTAGACATCTTCAATCTACTGGGGAGGGCCTTCTCTCTGTCACACCACCTTCTCAAGTGCTTTTGGTGGAAACACGAGAGGGCTTTTTCGGTGGCTGCTCCCAGACTGTGAAACTCCCTCCCAAGAGAGATCAAGATGGCTCCATTCTTGTTGGCTTTCTGCAAGCAGATCAAGAATTTCTTCTGCCAGCAGGCATTCTTCTGTCAGCAGGCATTCCACCAGCCACATGCTGGTGGAAAAGTGAGGGGGAATGTGTGTTTTAAATACTATCTTAAGTTTATTTATTATATTTTAATCTGTTTTTAAACATAATCCACACTGTATTATATAATTGGTTTTTTTTATTTTTGTACTACGCTTTTAAAAGTATGATCAAAATGTAGAATTGTTACCCACCTTGAGTCCCCATAGAGAGAAAGGCAGGGCATACAAAAATAAACCAATAATATTTTTCACCTTACTCGTTCTACAGCAGTGTTACCAGCCCTTTCATGTCCTGCCAAAATGCTAATCCCTCTCTCCATTTACCACCTTTCCACCATAAAGACTTTCCCCTTCTGCTGCCACATTTTAAAACTCCTTTCCCAATGATCCATGTCTTCCTTACTCTTCTCTGCACAATACTAAAGAATCACATGTGGCTCAGGTTACCTCCCACCAACTGTTCAACTCAATTCTAACACCTCCTCTCAACTCCACAGCAATGCA